CTTCTAATGTTCGGTGATTAAAGATCAAACATTTTACCGATCTCTTTTTTAATTAATATTAGTTAATTAAAAAAGAATTTGCAATGTAGTAAAATACCTAACCCATTAGACATATTGTGTGTAATTCCGTCTGTAAAAATTTTAATCAGTACTAATGTGGTGCTGTGGTGCGATCTACTTATAAGTAGTATATGACGTGAGTGTCAACGTAATGTCTAGCAGCAGAAGATGAGGGAAGATCAAGAAAGGAAGAGTTAGAACACAATAGAATTTGTATGAAACGCATGAATAGTGACAATGGATTGATGTTTTGCAACAGGAACAGTCCAGTTCGATATGATGAACTGATATTTTGCAAATTAACGATTTACGATATGGTTTTCGTATTTTACTGAGTAACTCTGTAATTTTCGTTAAATACAATTCGGTTGCCCCACCTGTGTTCTCCTTCACTACACTAATAACTAGATAATGCAACGTTGGTGATCAATAAAATTATTTACGCAGGTCTGTGTTTTCTCAAATTCTAACCTCCTGAATTCCTCATCATCTTTATCTTTCTCTTTCTAAAGTTACCCCACTGAATTATACTTCTTGAATCATATCTTCGAACCCTAATCTTCTCCATTATTGCTAATACTTCTACTATCTCTACCACTAGAGTATTTGAACTGACAATTGCCTTTCTTTTCTAATGCGGTATGGCAACCTGAACTTGTGTACTCATGTACAAAGTTCTACGTTGCAACTGACTGCCAACTTTGTAAATGCGAATTTTTATCGTATATTATTGTTTAGCATTATCATGAACCCCCTATTGTTAATCAAACATGTTTGATTGACTCTCAGGATTAGAAAATATCTCCAGATGTTCTGTAAGATCTTCAACCAACCTTAAACTGTTATTCATGAATTTATAGCCGATAATTAACGCTACCTCATTGATACTGGCCGTTATTGAATTTTCTTTACGTCTCATTACAACTCAACCGTCATAAAATCAATGAGAAATTATACCCAATCTTATTTATCTACGATTGACCAAAAGAAATCTACACATAGCGTTAAGGTTTATATTTTATTTTTTCAGCAATCCACAAAATCTTATCCTAAATACCGTGTCACACATATATTACTGTGGTACATAAGAGTGAAGTTGTAAAAAAAACTATTTAGATAACAAGGTCAAAGCCAATTTATAAAACGAAATGTTGGATTAACTGAAACCGAACACTAATCCATGAAGTTAGTAACTGCTACAGGTCAAGTCAGCTGAAATTCACCACTTAGTTTAGTGGATGAATATTCTAGATGACGAAAAACTTTACTTCCTATGAAATCTACATGTATTTTCTAATAATATATTTGAAATATTATTTGATTCCATTTCATTCTTAGTCTATTTATGTTCTACGTTTTATTCATTTCAAGGAGAATTGTTCTTCTTTTCTCATATTATAAGAAAGTACCTTTTCCAGTAGTTCAAATTCGAGCATAACATACTTTCTAATCGATTAACTAGAGTTATAAATGCACTGATATAAAGTATTTTATGAAAATAAAGTTGTACTTTTATTCAGTTTAAAAACTTACAAAAAAAAAATCTGATATCTTTGGGAATTCTTCATTCCTGAAGCACTTAATGACAGTTATAATTGTTCATCAGTCCTATTGATAATACTGTTCAATGTATCAATATCATAAAGATTGTTCAACTGGTGAATGAATTGTTTTACTAATGAACTTGATGTGTTTCTATTCTTTGTGTGTGAAAAAATTTCTCTGTACATTATTTACAAACCATAACTTTAAACGCTGTTTTACTTTGAGGCATTTGTCTTCTGTGCGGTATTAAGTAAAATGTTAATCTTGCTTTGTGCATTAACCTACTCAATTCATCGATGATGAAATCCATAAGCTGTTCTTACAAATGTTGAAAAACATCTTGGATACCCCCCCCCCCGAGTAAGCAGACACAACATACTCCTTATTAATACATCAAAAATAAAGTGCTACTCAATAAATCATCCTTATTATTCCCTGCAGTAAAATTTCTTTTTTGAATCGTTTTTCATTAGTGATCGGTGATGTCTACCTACCTGATCGACACTGACTGATTTGAGATCATTATCATAACGTTTCATGTGAATGTCTCAGACAACTGTCGGTAATATTGATTACTGAATGAATAATTAAGCATATATTTATTTACCTTAGAAAGTATGCGAAAAAAATGCATTGTCTAGAATTTTTTGCCATTATGTTTTGAATGCCAAAAAACAAAACAATAAAATGTCTGAATAATTTCTCGAAAAGATACTTCAATTGTTTGCGCAACAAATAATCACAATTAAAATGATAACCAAATGTCTCAGTGCTCTAACAAATCAAGAAGATATATTCATTTTTTTATCATATGACAGATAATTCGACATTAAGTCTGGGTTATTCAAATTCTTAGCATATAAAACTCACTATCATTATATTATATATACGCCAACTTACTAAAAACTGATCTTCTAACCTATTTATTATTTCCTAAAAAAAACCCAGTCTTTTTGTAGTCTCGCCAATATTACTTTTGTCATTAAAGAATGCATATTTGTTGACCTCAGACACATCGACCTTTTATTATTATTCATATACTTGTGGTAATTTTACTTTCCTTTGTTAACTAATTTGTGAGTTTTGACAAACGATTAAGTAGATAGCAATGAATTTTAACTGTAATTGGTCGCGCTTCAAAATAAATAAATTGATGTTATCGTATTTTATATTATATTTAATTGTACATTGCGTAATACATTGTTTTGGTCAAAAGATGGGACTTGTCATATCAGTAGGATCAGAGAGAAAATTAGCAATCAGAGAAGAAGCAGAGAAGGTGAACGTATACCAATCATAATAAGAAGTTAAATGTAAGATATACGATTTAAAAATGAACAAGTAAAATCGATCACTGAAGCGTTTGGGATGATACTGAGCTAAAGTTTATGAGAAAAAGGAAGAATGTTTGTAGCTGAGCCAATAAATTAGATCTTTACGCATAAAACTCAGTATCTCTGATTATTGGTTAGAACTGTTCACGGGTTTAACAACAATTCATACTGTTTAGAGTTTTACGATGTATATTTACAAACTTTATTCTCAGTAGGATATATATGAAAGCTGATTCATATATACTATCTGTCCTCACTTTAATTCAGAAGCTCTAAGTGTAATCAGATTATTGCGATTAGTCCTGTCACACTGCCTCTACTAGTTTGTGATTCGCCCGGGCAATTTCATTCCCCTGCGCTAATTGGGCAATGACAATTAGGACCGATGTTTGCATGTGCTAGGTTCTGTGTTGAGTTTATTTGACTGACTGGATTAGGAATTCATAATTTAAGGTTACGTCATAATCATAAATCATAGATTCAAGCCTACCTGTTGTTTATCTTCGAACATGCATAACAACACTGAATCACATCGTATAATAACCGTTGGAAAAAACGTTCATCACTAAAATGCAATACAGTATATTCTCAAATACGAATACTTTTTTATCCCATTACAGTACAACAATTTAGTTTTTAAACATGAATTGATCTATTCCGTCAGATAATCTGTAACAGTTAAAAAAATATCATATTAAACAAACAAATATATAAATCTACTTGTATTTCTCTCTCTCGTTCTACTCTAATCATCAAAAAGATTTCACTTCAAGTTCTTTTATTGTTTTGCCTAATCATATCATCTTTATGTAGACATCTTCATAGTCTATAAAACTTTTGTAATTTTAGTAATTAACATGTTACAAATTCATGAAATTGATGATCTCAATGTCTTAAGCTATGGTTACACTTCACTTTTAAACACAGTTGTCTACACTCAATAGGTAGATTAGAATTTGCTTATGCTTTATTGCTAAGTTTGGCAATAGATTTCGACACTTTAGCATAATTAATCTTTATTAAAAAAGAAAGAATGAGTTTCTTTTCATGGGCTAACGAAATAGTAAGTAAACATTGATGATGATGATTGTGAAATCATTTGACGTTTATTGTATACTATATTTACTCGTTCTGTTTACTTTAAAATAATAGCCAATAGAATTAGAGGATTCCAGTAAGATAAGATTTGCTACTCATATTACTCAAATCTAGCTATTTTAAGAAATCAATGATGTTTTGCTCAGCTGTTTGAAAAGATTATATATATGTATATATATATATATAATGATATCCACAGAAATAATGTTGATAATTTAAACAGATTGGAACTTAATACCAAGGTGTTCGATCATTTTTTGTGATTCGTTTCTCGTCAACGCAGTCTATGATGGAATACATATGTAAATTACTATTATTATTATTATCATTATTATTATTATTACTATTATTATTATTATTATTATTATTATTATTATTATTATTATGTTATTTTGAAAATATTTGGCTTATTTTTGTAACCATTTTCATAATAATCCCACCCAGTCTTATATTGGACATTCAGCCAGTAATTAGGAGAGATACGTGTATCATTGATGCATTCATCACCGAAAAATGCGTATAATTATGATTGTGCTTACTAAGCAATCTGACCTCCTTATCACTAATAGCACATTTATAATAGTACCAATGTATGTGAACATCTCTTCGAATGGATCAATATTTATCTGTTTGTTAGTTTCTTATAAATGTTTTAGTCCAACTGGTGATGACTATTTTTGTATAACCCTCAGCGGGTAAATATCTGTTAACATGAAATCGGACTTCAATGAGATAGCAATATGGTTGAACAATTTGATTCTATATATATAACTGTTTAGATAATCAGCCCTGTAATTCTAAAGATTTAACATGATTTTTTGAATAAATACACATGCTTTGTAATCAGAGATTTACTCGATATTATATTACTGACAAAATGTTTAGTCATTGTATACTTTAAACTAAAACTATCTTCAACTAATTCATCATTTTCATGTAATCTAATACATTTTAATTTCATAGCCTATTACAGTCGCTGAAGTCGGATCAAAACAGACAAACAATATTGATACTAATAATATGTCAACCAGTGACTATGAAAATAATCATCAATCCACTTCTCCAGCAAAACCTAAACCTGTTTGTGGAATTGGCTTAGGCAATATCTTCAGTGGTCAACCTATTCAACTGAAACAAACCGCTTTAAAAGAAGTAGTCAATAAAGAAGTAAGTAACGCAGTTGTTTTTTAACTAAGTTGTTTGCAAATGAAAAGTAACACGATTGTGCAATAACTGTAATTGACTAATTTGATACGGCAACGGTAATCACTGTTTGCTTGTTAGAGCGTGTAAGAAGGATTTGATTTTGACTGGTCTCGTGCTGTTACGGGTATGATGGTGGTTGTCACTTCCCGGCTGCCCACAAGGTGGAAGGTTGTTTCTTGAGGAACCTGAAAAGGAAGATAGATTAGTGTTGGTCTCGGAGACCTGGGAGCGTGACCGCAGAGTCCAAGGAATAACTGCTTGAGACCGGTCACGCACGGCCTTTTTATGAGACGTTTTTTGAGGATTAGCTCCGCTCTTGAAAGCCCTTAGTGGGCACCCTTACCCAAGGAGACGGAAATCCGTGAGGTAGGGTGAGGTGTGACATTTTTAGGGTCGAACATTTCTCACCCTTCCTTCCTTGTGAGAAGGCAGCATCGCTGCAGTTGCTGGTTGTCCGAGGGAAACACCTTACTGCTGTCACACCCCTCTGCAGTCAGCAGTACGACTTCGCCCTCAGACCTTGAGTAGCTGCTTTTAATCTCATCGTTCTCCAATCGACCTGCCTGGCATGGTAGGACCTGCAGGAACATATGTTCCAGCCAGTATAGCTCGGTTGGGTCATCACGATAGGCAAGCCCGACCACCACGTCAAGGTACCAGCTACGGTCGGGACTGTTTGCTTGTGGAATAAAATTAATCAAAAGAAAGCCATCCTTTTACTCCATACTCATAGTAGCTCACCTTATGATGATAATGGGAGTTCATGGGTGTATGTTGTTAAAGATATGATGATGGCTGTCTCTTGCTAACGAGAACAGGAAACCATAGGGTGCCATGAGCTTTTTGATTGTAGTATTACGATCTTCAAGTGAATACGTGTGTTCTTTTAGGACGTGAACGAAAAAGTGTCCCGATAGTGTATCTTCACCAAACCAGTCCTTTTTGCAATCCTGTCTACCACATCAAGGCAGCACTTACGATAAACAAAAATAGACATGTGTTTTTTGACTCATTGTAATGTACCTAGTTACAGTATTATTTGTCACAGTTAAGCAAAAGTATTTCTAACTGTGATACTGTATGATAGGGTATTTAGATGTCTACGGAAACCTTATAGTCGCTACGAAGTCAGATCAGATTTATAATGAGCGCCAAGAAATAAGTCAGCTCAAGTTTAAGGCTTCCAACAAACCATGAGTAAACATTGAACGCTTTAAACAAACCGTCGTAGTATAATTAGGTACTCGTTACACAATGAATGTATGCAACCTGACTTCGATTGAAATTTTCCCTATGTTTTCATTAACAACTACTTGTAGAGTTAAAATCGCCGTCATTTAGATTACAACAGCTAAAATATTATACCTGTTATTGATAACTTTCAATGCACAATTTCCAATGCAAACAATAATAATGTATCATTCATGAATACTTGAGAATTTGACTATGATTTATTTCTTTATTAAGGCTTATATGATCAATGCATAAAATGAAAAATAATGTAATGTTTCCATTGTTCATGCAGTTTTTTTATATCTTATGAAGTACTTTTTTTTCTCTTTATTCCAAATTGTTCATGTTTATTTCCACATGATTTTGTTTCATTTTTAAATATACATTGTTTTCTAATCAGTGTTATATATATATATATCACTCAATTGTGTGTATCAATCATAATACGAGTAGTATAATTAGTATGAGTAGTCACGTGTTATGCATAAAATTTGTCGAAAATTACCAATGCTTGTGTACACATATTGTCGTTTACAATTTATGCGCACACATGATTACAATGCAGGCATGCATGTTACATTGTACATTGAATGCAAATGTATTCATTTGTTTGATCAATATACATTGTTGTGATAAATTATTCATTAGTTTATCACACTATCTAATTAATTAATTAATTAATTAATTAATTATTTCTTTTCATTGAATAATTTAATGAGCGAAATTTCATTTTTTTCATGTGATGTTCACTTTTTTTTTAATTTATTTCTAAACATAATGAATTCTGGTTTCATTTTCAAAGATTCGTTTCCATTCTTAATGTATAAATTAATTAACTTTCATGTCAGCACTTATGTTAATTTTATATATCTATTTATTAAATTTTACATGACAAATATGATTGGTATTGTGATTTTTTTTTTAATAAGTTACACGTTTGTACTTAATTAAAAATACTTTAAATTTTTAGCACGTTCAATTATTGTGACCTCTTCAAGTACATCTAAACTACTTATTTCTTTTAGTAGTACACTTAGATTCTGAGTTATAAATATTTACCTGTGTATGTACCGTTAAAAAAATAATTATCATATATAAGACTTAAAAACTTAGTATGAATAAAATGTTGAAACCTTACTGATCATTATATGACCCTCATTTGCCTTCTGAAAAAACGATTTCTCAAATTTAGTATAAGAGATTAGTGGATATTGTATAACATTATTCACTAACACCGAATAGATAATCATTAAAACGTTTTTGAGAATCCTCTGAACAAAACTTATCGACTGGAGTTCAAGTCTAGATACTTCAGTTCTCTCGGTGCAAATGTAACATCTGAACCACTGAGTTCGTATGTCAACTCAATCAGTATTGCACGATCTTCCTAGTTTGGTACTAGGACTATTTATATCACACTGAACATAGATTACTTCAGTTATTTATGGCTTTCCACTAAAATTCTGAGAATCATCTTTCGAAAACAATCACCAGAAATCAATGAGGTTTGCGAAGATTGCTACTAACTAACTTGTTTCAGCTAACAAGTTCGCGCGCAAGACTGATGGTCCTGGCTCCGGATCCTGCGAGTAACAAGAGTCGTGGATGCGCACTATACCATACCATACGACCCTTCAGTGCTTCCAGGTTCCTAATGGTAGCCTAACGATGGTCGATTCATGATTTCAACGTAAAACAACGATCTCCTTAATTGCATAATGAAAAAAATATGTGGTTTCTTTTTAACACGTTTACAATTCTATTATTCTGTTTTTGTAAACCTGTGAGGTCAAGATTTAAAATATTAGTCCAGACAAATCTATATTTTTTCATCAGGTCAGTTTAATTGTCAACATTCTGCTCAATGTTACTTATCTACCATCTATGAAAAGTTTACACGTTTCCGATCTCATAGTGAAAGTGTTCATATATATATATATATATATATATATATATATATATATATATATATATATTAGTTCATTTAATTCGAAACTTGATCTTCCATTTTAATGAACAACATAAAGTATCATCCGTCATTGCTTTCATTTCATTTTGATCTTAGTTCCTCTCATACATGTAACAATCAACTAAAAGATTGGAAAATTCAATCAATACAACCAATGTAGTGACCGCCTCTAACACAGTTCCGTGTTATGTAATATATCATTATATTAGTCTATAAAATGTTTAATAAAATAAATAAGAAAAACATGATGTGAATTCCTAGCTAATATATTTAATTTATTAACAGACACATTTAATAATCAAAAAACAGGGATTAATTTTTTTCCACTTCAAAATTTACTTTCAAATAAAGAACCAATCATCGCTATCATGATAATCGCTTAAAAAAAATCTTGTTGCTTTTTGGCATACTTCCCTTTATAACAACACCTAATTTTTTTTTCCTGTCCAATTTTATTCCACTTAGGGATGCATTCAACTAAAATTTTGTTTATACAAATCTAATGGCTTATTGCTTCCAAAGTACACTGAAATTTAAACAAAAACTTTCATGATTATTTTTTCAATTATCAATAATATATAACATAAATCACTCTATGAAAGTTAGTTAGTTTTTAATATTTTTTTCTTTTTTTTTGGTACTAATAAACTATTTTAATTGATCAATAAGAAGTAATTGTCTATCATTTATCAGTATAACTTGTTCACGGCAAAGTTACTTTTTTTTAGAAAGATACATTTCATACAAAATTAAATCATGTAGAAAATTTTATCCAATAAATAATAGTTTCAATGGTATGATTCTCAAGTTTTTTTAAGATCAGATACTAGTTGAAATTTAGTTGTTTGTAAAAAGTTGTTGTGAATTTCAACAATGAACATGGACTAATCTGTGAGACTGATTTCTAACCGTATCGCTTGTGAAGCGATTACTCAATAAAGACTATGAGACATGGTTTCTCAGGACTATAAATGGACTGAAGTTATTACACATTGATACTATGGTATACCGACTCAGTGGTCTAGAGATGATGTGTTCATGAGCGAGCTCGAATGTACCGGGTTCAGCGTCCGCATGCGGAATCTTGAATAGGCACTACCAAGCAGTTCCATCATGGAATGAAACATCTATCCAATACTTCCAGATTTCCAGTTCATGATCCCAATATAACTCGATAGTTTGCAACGATCAATTTCAATTGAAAGTCATTCAGCACAATCTGTTAGTCGCACTAATTCTATAATATTAATTTAAATCAACATTACTTACTCACTTCCCTACGCCTGTTACCCCCAAAGGCGCAGATCAGCATTCTCCCACCTACTCTGCTGTCCCGGGCCTTCCTTTCTAGTTCTGTTCTATTTTTGTTCATTCTTCTCATGTCTGTCTCCATTTCTCGGTGTAATGTGTTGATTAGCCTTGAGGATTCCAAGCAAGGGCTTGTCATGTGACTCAGTCGGTTGCCTTCCTCAGTGTGTTGTGTACTATCCACTTCCAGCGTTTCTTCTTGACTTCTTCCTCCTCTAGGATCCGGTTTGTTCTGTCCCTCAGTAGGTTGTTGCTGATAGTATTCTAGCTAACGGATCCGAAGTATTTTACGTAGACAGCTGTTAATTTAAATAAACATTACAGATCATGAAATGAACACTGTGCTATCTTTATTTAAGACTATTCCACTTGTATTTCGACTCATTTAGTATTCGTCTTATCGATTTCTGATGTAATATGGTATCTCTTACCGGTGTATTACCTATGCTCAGTTCTAATGTTTAACACTTGAATAGTTATAAATCACAAGCAACCAATTACATTATTTAGTGCTAAATAGAAATAGTATTTTTACAAGTTAAAATGATTTTTTAATGGAATTGAGTAATTATGCTCGACATATTTTTTTTTTCAAAAAAAAAATTATTTTACTCTGAGTACAGATCATGAAACTCTGAGACCACACGTTACTTCTATGCAAATATTTTATTTAAACAAATCATACTTATTATGTACAACGTTTTTATTCATTGAACAAGAACACTTTTTTTTAATGGTTCAATGGTATCAATAATTAATTTCCACTAGAAAATTATTTTTTAAAACAAAATCAACATTGTATTTTCTTTTTCTTATTCATTTGGATACAATGTGAAGTATGATTAATTGTTTATAATTCAAAATAATTTTTTTACAATTATGATAATAATCATTCACACGAGAATTAGTTAATGACAATAATCAACTGTGTCTTTCATATATATATATAGATCATATGAATGTATAAAACTACAACATACATGAATAAATAATATGAATAATAATCATTCATTATTTTTGTATGATTTATATTATTAAATGGTTAATAATGGTTAATAATGAAAATCTAGGTGTGGTCTAAATTAATTGTACAAATTCATACATCTGGACTTAATAAATGATTTTACCTCTGTGATTCAATCATCTCAATTATTTTATCTTCACATTACTAGAATGGTCTGTTAGTATGTTGTTTCTCACAAAATTGTATATGTTTGTATTTGTATACTGTAAAATGAATGAGATATTCCGTATATTTTTCGTTTAAAATGATTTATAGATTTATAATAAGGAACTGTTTTATGTACAAATGTATTTTTCTGTTCAGTTCCTGTATGGTATACTCAGAATACATAGGATAATATATGTATTTATGAAAGGTTTTTTTAAAAACAGTAATCAGTTACCGTTTATCTTTTACGGCAAATTTTTTCAGTGACTCTCGTTCCCATGTGGATAATATGCTGTAGAGCATTTGCACTGTGTTTACATGCGTAAATTTACGTGTATTTACATGTTACATTTAAAAGAAAACAATGTTTCCGCTTTCATATTGCAGTATTTAATTTCCTATTAGTTAGTACTCTTCTTAGAAAAGCGTTTGATCAGGTTATTCAGATAATATTCATAGTTACTTAAATAAAACCATTACAAAAAACATGACAATTCAATTTAATCATTCAATTATTGAATTATGGATGGTCTTGAAGTTTAAGCAAACTACTAATTTACTCTGACAAAGAATAATAATAATAGAGCTCCATATTCAATAGATCACCGTAGCAGTTTACAATATAAATATATACATATGTATGTACATATTTATTCAAGGTATAGGAAGATCCCATGATTTCATAACTTATTCAAACCTCATCTATCCGTATTCAAGAAGTGATAAAACATTCCGTTCACTTATGACTTTGTTTAAAAATCATAAATCTGTAGGTGCACAAAGTAAAACAACTGTATGATTGTATCAATTAAGCTAATTAAATCGTATTGATAAATGCATATTCATAGTCTAAAACGAAAACCTAAAGTGAGAAAGCATCCACTAAACAGACATTAGCAAATCAAGCGTTGATGCACAAGACTGAAGGTAGCTTTCATTCTCGGTAAATTCTTTTGAGACTGATCGTTTGTCATCACAATTACAAAGCTTATAACCTAAGTATCGAAAACAAACCCATGAATTTTTCCTAGTAAGGTTTAGCGGTCAAGGTTCTCATCACGAACGGAATTCAGTATTTGGTCAGTCGGTCAGTCAGTCAGATGCAACGTAGAACTTGGTATGTAAGTACAGCAGTTCATGTCGCCATACCACATCAGCACAGAGATATAATTGTCAATTCAAATCCAATAGTAGTAGAGGTAGTAAGGGAATTAGAAGTAATCGAAGAGGTTAGGGTTAGAAGATACTATTCAAGAAGTATGATTCAGTGAGAAAAGTTTAGAGAGTCGAAACTAGAGGTGTTGAAGAATCCAGAAGATTAGGATTTGAGAGAACACAAAGAATAAATGCACCGGCGCCATTGCGAACTATTTTGAGCCATGTCATTCAAGGTCTCTAACCATCGATTATTATCATCTCGCGGACCCCAACCAGGTAGTCGACAATTACCGACATGGCTCAGTCCACTTGTATTCAGTATTTGATATATTCAGCTCTATCGATTTTAATGTACGAATATGAAGAGAATTCAAATGTAATTTAAGTTTAGAGCTAAAATCTTACAGTTACGTTCTCAGTTTTGATTGGCGGCTTATTCTTGTTAATATCTTTTCTAATGAATTGAATACATTTTTCCTTTTACATAATCCACCTTTATATCGACATGAATATTACCTCTTTGTAATCTTTTAACTAATTAATTCATTTCTTATTACAATAAATAATTACTAGAATTGCAAGTCAGTTTTGTTGATAATTTTCTCGACATTACTAAAAAAAAATACTATTATGAATGCGGTAATTTACTTTCTTAATTCATTGATAGCAGGAAATTATATTTCGATGAATAAATTTTCTACAATCTATCCATCTGTGTTATACATATAATTGAATTAACTGTTGATTAATGACTTTATTTAAAAATGTAACTTGCTGTTAAAATTTCAATATGATCATTAGATTATGATATAAATTAGGTGAATTAAACAAACCGCTCACCATTAAAATTGAAAGTGTGCTGCTCCATATTCAATGTCATAAAAAAATTATTGAATTATGATAATTTTATGGTAAATTATATTTTCTATTTGAATATATGAATGTGATTCATATGGTTATTTAATTTTTGTAAAATCTTAATGTAACTCTATTCAAAAATCAAGGCGCCAAATCGAACTCCATATGATGAATGCTGTGCTCATGTCTACTATCTTATCTATTCATTTGTAGAATGAATCAGTTGCTGAAAGGACTATCGGAAACAGTAAAAGTACGTTTAAATGACTGTATTTTTTGATGAACACTTTGTTTTGAAATGATAAAATAATATTCAATAATCAATTGATAAATTGCTTGTATTTTTATGTAACAATTTAACAACTTAAGCTTGAATACCTCATACTAGTTTACATTTTATCACTGATCATAAAGCAGAAATTTTAATTGTCCCATTACTGTAGGAGATTATTTTGCTAAGTTGACTTGTTGTCATCGTTTGATTACAGTATTCAATCTCTTACTGTGTTCTTTCTGGATTTTTTTAAATAATTTCTTTAGAAATTATTTATAGTGTATACAGGTCATAGGTTAAGTAATCGTGTAAGACTTAAAGTCCTGAGTCCAGTCCATCCGCCCGATCGTGGATGTCAACAACGTGCAGGTAGCATACTGGCGACTGCCTAGTCCCCTTTGATTTTCAATGATAGTTTGAGGTCACCTCGTGATGAAACTAACAAAAACAATTATTTTTGAATGTTTTATGCCTTTGTCGAATATCACTGTGTTGTGTTGTTAAAAAATATCCGAATTCTCTGTGTTTAACATGTGTGTTGCAGCTTGTGTTGAAATCAATAAACCCGTAGGTAATCGACTAGCGCTTAGCAATATAGTCTAATATTTCAAAGCTGATGAATGTCCGTTTATTCTATCCTAGGAAATAATTACTAGTGCTTTTCATAGATATTTTATTCTCTCACTTAAATCTTGATTGATTACTATTGAAAATGTCCAAATGCATGATCTTCGCCCAAATACTGCTAAACAAACCATTTGATATCACTAAAACCAACACTTAGTTTACAATTGAACATGGAAAAACCAACCAACATTTTACTTTGGAAAATCGTTTTCAGACTTTAAAAATAATTCGGATAAATAATAAAAATGAATAAGATATTTCATATTACACAACAAATAAAATCAGTATTGTAACAGTTCAATATGAAATTTCCTATGATTTATTACGTCACTGATCAGACCAATCACATACACATCGGTCGTGCATCATTAACCTTGAATTAGTTACTGATTTCCTATTGGCCCACAGTTGTTTAGCTCTCTTTCGCCTTGCTATTGAGTTCCAAAGTTGCCATTCAGCCTGTGAATAAAAAAGGAGACTGGAAATAAAAGGCATGATGACAAAATAATAACAATATATCATATGATCTTGGTTTGTGAGTTAGTTGAAAACTTACGATTGAATGAATTTATAATCGTAATAATCTAGTTACGTAATACATACATACATACATACAATAAAACTGTCTATCATAAGAATAGTTTTTTTTTTGAGTTGACATTTGTTTTGATTTTTATCATGATTGCATCACGTCATGCAATTCAAATACACACAAACTGTATATATATATATATATAAGGTTTTAAACACGAGGTACTGTTGTCAACTTATCACTATTTTCATGACTGGTCGAATTTGGAGAAAGAATTCTTATTGAATTAAGGATTGATTGATTAAAAGAAACAATCTGTGAATTCCGTATTGAAAAAAAGATTAACGTTTCTCAACTTTATGAAAACGTTTATGAAACAAATACGTTTATGGTTTTTTTTTCTTCTTTAGCATTTACACTGTTGTTTTAATACAAACATAAAATGTGAATTCTTATATCTATGATAACATGCTTAGTGAATATATAAGATGTTTCTTAAAAAAAAACTCTGACTAAACTAAAAGATTTCCTGTATGCATATATGAATGTAAAGCAGGCACATTTAATGTTACGAAGTTGTTTTTTAACAATTGATCTAGCAGTCAATGATTAGCCATACTATTCCATTTAGACACTAACATGTTGTACATCTTAGTTTTAGTGTGGTTTTATTATTTAGGCTTCATAAATGAACTGTTTATATTTAAAACTCCATGTATTATTTAAGAGATATATCTTCTTATTTTTCTTTACAACATAGTAATTCATCATGATGACACTTCATCGAGTCATTATTCAGCCAATCAAGTTCGAGCACGTTATGAATATGTACCGAAACAAGCGGATGAATTAGAACTGCACATTGATGATATTATACAAGTATTAGATCGTAATTTACCTGATGATGGTTGGTGGAAAGGTAGAAATATGCGTACAAATTTGATTGGTATATTCCCGGATAATTTTGTTGCACCTATGAATGGTACAAACAAAGAATTAGATGAGAATAAATCACAGGTATGGTATGAAATAATTTTTTTTTAAATTGATTGATTAATTAACTTGAATTAAATTTTCTTGTTGTGTTCTTAAAAAAGTGCATTCTTATCCATTCTGAGGCGCAGTTTGTGATGTTTATTATTTGTCACTAATTCATTGAATAATTTTATTAAAATTATACTGATTAGACTAACTATAGGGGTGGTCAGACTAAAATTGGACTGAACCATGTTACTAGGTGTAGACTACTAGGTTGGAGTTCACGAGACAATAGTGTAGTGAAGGAGAACACAGGTGAGGACAACCAAATTGTATTTAACGAAAATTACAGAGTTACTCAGTAAAATCGGAAAACCATATCGTAACTCGTTAATTTGCAAAATATCAGTCCATCATATCAAACTGGACTGTTCCTGTTGCAAAACATCAGTCCATTGTCACTATTCATGCGTTTCATACAAATTTCATTGTTTTCTAACTATTCCTTTCTTGATCTTCCCCCATCTTCTGCTGCCAGACATTACGTTGACGCTCGACATATACTACTTATAAGTAGCTCGCACCTCAATAGTAGTAACCGGCTGTTATAGACTTTGAATGACGTGGCTCAAAATCATTTGTAATGGCACAGGTGCATCCACCCTTTATCTTCTCTCAAATTGTAATCTTCTGAATTCCTCATCACCTTTATCTTTCTCGTCTCAAATCTAGTTCACTGGATTATACTTCTTGAATCATATCTTCGAACCTTGATTCTTTCGATGACCGGTGATACCTATACCACATCTACCACTATGGGATTTGTATTGACAATTGCCTCTCCATGCTAATGTGACATGACAACTTGAACTGATGTACGTACGTAGGACGTTATATGTTGTACTTGATTGACTGAGTAATAAGGAAGTATGCATTTGACAGTAGACTGAATTGTAACGTAAATGAGTTAGAAAAACCTCACAGAGTATTTAAAGAATATCAGAAGGATAAATAAAGCAACCATAATGAAGATCAAGATCAAATGACGTTGAATGTATATTCAGCCAACATATGATAAATTAATCTGCACATTGAACTTTTTTAAAGTGATTGATTCATGTTATGCCAACATGTACTGCGAAAAGCCGGTTTATTCTCCATGATAAATTAGTCACTTATGTTCGTTGGTGCATGATTAGAGTTGATAAGTCCAAAATACAAGGTAGTTTCGCAGTATTCTTTATGCTTAACACTAGTCTTTAAATAAGAATAAAAAACACCTACTTAAGTTTCTTGTCTTTTTCAAAACACTTGGTACTTTTTTCATCATACAAGGTAATGAAAAATTAAAAAGTATTTGATATCTGTTGTGCACAAAAAGAGACAAAACACATGATAACCTCAGAGAAATCCATTTTTTCCTTTATAAATATGAAATTTGTGTTATGAAAGCCAGTGACTGTTATAGTTAGTCCCAGTCAGTCAGGTACAACATATAACGTCGTACGTACGTACATCAGTTCAAGTTGCCGTATCACATTAGCATGGAGAGGCAATTTTCAATACAAATCCCATAGTGGTAGATGTAGTAGAGGTATTAGCGGTAAACGAAAAAAATCAGGGTTCGAAGATATGATTCAAAAAGTACAATCCAGTGAACTAGATTTGAGACGAGAAAGATAAAGCTGATGAGCAATTCAGAAGATTACAATTTGAGAGAAGAAAAAGGGTGGATGCACGTGTGCCATTACAAACGATTTTGATCCATGTCATTCAAAGTCTCTAACAGTCAATTACTACTATTGTCTCACGAACTCCAACGTGGTAGTCTGTACTTGCTAACATGGGTCAGTCCTTTTTGTCAGCATGATGGTAAACTCGGCTGGCATACTTCACTTGTACTTGAAGTTGACTGACTGATTAACTAATATTCTTCTGCTTAGTCAGATGTAATGGAGTTCTTTTTTTTTTAATTTTGAGAATAACAATTGTTCAATGTTGTCAAAGGTGTTTTCAAGTGATTATTTCAATTTTAAAAATTGTACTCGACACAGATTGACCTTATTTCTGTGTGCTCTTTTGAAGAGTTTTATATTTTAGGACGAAATAGTCGATCAATACTTCTTGACTTTTAACTTTACTTTAAATAAGATCAGTATGCGATAATACAACCTTTAGTGATCAATATGTGTTATAATCTTTCTCTCTTACTCAGAGAGAGATAGTTTGTTGGCTTTAAATAACAGAGATAAATGATAAGACCTGCCTGTATAAACATTTTCACCAACGAAGATGGATGATATTATGTGTGAATGTGAAAGAGAATCACTGGCAAAAAATACATTTTTTGTTTATACTTTCAAATTTACAGACACCTTGAAATATCTTGTGCATTATTGAACGAAATTTGATTCTTTTTTTTCTTTGTTAAAACTTCTCAGTAGTATTTTAATTATTCATCCATCTGGTTTCTAGATTTCAGTACTGACATTATTTTTTGTTAAATTAAGGTGAATAATATATGATGAGATGACATTCATTCCTAGTCCTTCTGATAATTTATCAATATGATCAACCAAATACATAGTCAAGTGAGTGACAAACGTCATATGCACAAAAAAACTGGCAACAACGCATGTTCATATTGATTGACGTACTTTCAATCATAACTGATGAGGAACCAAAAAGAAAAAAAAACTTGACCAAGACACTACGCATCCCGTTAGACAGATTATATCTAAACAAATAAAAAACTTGCATCACAATGGAATACAAACTAGGCTACATAGATTATCAATTGAACCGGTAGAAATGCAAAAAAAAATAATACTTGAGGGAGTTGTCTACTGTTCTTTCCCTACTTTTTTTTATGACAACGTTACATTAGTTGCTTTGGATTAGGCTTATTTCCTCCTAATCGTTGTTAATTGCGGCAATCTTTATTCATCAAGTTTAAAAACATTTGCTGCTCAGCAGGATGGATGCATTTTAGAATATATATATATATATATATATATATATATATATATATATATCTATATATATATATATATATATATATATATATATATATATACACATCAGTCAGCTACAAAGTAGATCTTCGTAGTACGTACATCAGATCAAGTTACCCTACCACATTAGCACAGAGATGCAATTGTCAGTTGTAATCCCACAGTGTCAGAGGTAGTACAAGTATGAGCAGTAATGAGAAAGGTAATGGTATGAAGATATTATTCAAGAAGTACAATCCAATGAAATAGATTTGAGACGAGAAAAATTAAGATCATGAGGCTTTTAGATTAGAATTCGGGAGAACACCAAAAGTGGATGCACCCGCGTGATTGCAAACGATTTTGAGACATGTCGTTCAAGGTTCTAACCATCGGTGACTTTCGTCTCACGGACCCCAACCCCTCCTCTACATCTGCTAACATGATTCAATTCACTTGTCAGTGACTTCATGCATTTCTGCCGTGTTTGGTTTGGTTGCCTCTATCTTTCTTCCAACCTACTTCTACACCACAAAACATCGCTCGTCTAAAGAGTCAGTGGTTGGGCATGCGTAACAAATGTCTCATCCACCTCAATGAATGAAGTTTCACTACTTCATTCATTGATCTGCCATCGTCGCCTAGTACTTGTTTCCTAACAACAGCATTGCTTATTCCAGCACTGTTTCTAAGATATCTATGGTCGAAAACCAGTAACCTGCGAATATCCTTTTCTCTTACTCGCCATATTTCACACCTGTATAGGAGAATGAATCGAACTACTACGCAGTAGACTCGTCCTTTGGTTAGCAAACGGATATCTAGCCTACGTGATAAGTGATGCTGGTTGGCAAAGGCCAGTCCAGCCTACTGTATCGGTGCTGAGTTTTCGTCAGTCATCAGGTCATCAGCACTGATGAGACTCCCCAGATAGGTGAACTAGTCAACACGCTCAACTGCTCCACTCCCTATCACTAGTTCAGATGCCGATACAAGCCAATCCTGAAGCAACCTTTCGCATTATGAGGGAGAGAATCGCATCCCGAACATGCTTGCATTGTTGCTTAGGCTGGTCAAAAGACTGCATTATGTCAATGCCTTCACCATGTAGATTGAGAACTGAATCTCCTGGTAAATGTTCAATTGCTGAAAAATATATACATGTATATCCTTCGTGTTTCTTACTCCATAGACCTTGAAAATATCCAATCAAAACGTGTTCAGGTATTGTATTGTACATGTTAATTCTTGAAATAACCGATCTGATTTCACTGATTGATGACTATACAATAACAAACCGATTCATAAGAAAACTTCTTGATTCATTCATGACATTAACTCTAAGTAAAATAACTGTATTGAAATCTATCCAAAACCGTAGCTAAATATCATATTAATAAAATATTCATAACCTGATCACTTTGAAATCATCATAACTCTACATAGAATACATTTATGATTCAATGTATTTCACTGTACAGTATATTGTTAGTTTAACAATATCTTTAACTTTATAACATTACAGTATTCACAACATCACAGTGTTCTTTTTTTTCCTCAATAATAGATCACTTACCACTTCTCTAATGATAAACAGTCAATCTTAATATGAATTTACACATTCCCATTTCCTTATTTCTATGACTAGTTCACTGAAGATACGCACACACATACACACTGGTTGATGTTCCAGTTAATAACCATGCAATAAAAACGTAACAATTCATTCTCTTCTTCTATGAGCTAATAAATTCAGTTATATTTATCGGTAGCTTTCATTTGGGATAGAGTAGAAATCCTTAACGATTTCAAATCGATAATACACAGTGTAGAACATAAATATATACGTATATATATTCAAAAAAAGCTACACAAATCCAACATGTTTAGAAAATGTTATTTATGTGTAAGCTATGCGTTAATTCAAACATTACGCTGATAACTTATGATAATAATTATTACATGAGAAAATAGCTACTTGTTATTTTCCATTTGGGGGAAATGGGAACAACTAAGTCATAAGGTTTGTTTAGATGTTTGTTTGTTTTTTCTAAAACGAAGTCAAAAGAACACCGTGTTTGAACATGGAAATTTTTTTAAAAAATAAAGACTAATCGATTCAACATGAAAAGTGGAAGTTTACCCTTAAAATTATCGGTTATCGTGTATGATGTAAGAGTGAGAAAGAATGAGGAGAGTGAGTGAGAGTGAGAGAGAGTTTGAATGTAAGAAGCTAATGTTAATATTGATAAATAGTTAGATAAATAGATGGAATATATATGCACGAAGTTTTTAAAGTCTTCACAATGGTTACACAAGAAAAAAAATGTTTTCTTACAATCCATGATGATAATGAAGAAAGGCGTTTACACTTGCCTCACATTACTCATTTCTTGCCTTTACTACAAAATGTATATATATTTTTTAAAAATAATCATGTAAAAAGTAACATTGAAGAAATAAATGTATGTTAGGCGTATTCCATTTCCTTGTTTATCTTCTATTTACAAGTATGTGTATGTGTGCATGTTCACGCATTCAATTCAAAGGAAATAACTATGTATATGTATGTATTAATGGTCCATGTATATTTTTTTGTTTAAAACCGTATTTCATAAACATAAACAATTAGGAATAGTAGTAGTAATAAAAATTATGTGTCAGGAAGTGTACACGTACATTTATTATCGACAATCTAAAGATAACATTGGTTATTATGATAAATTTAAGAACTCTATGCACTGGTTGTTGATTGAGTAGTAGTCCTAACACAAAATGAATAAAAATCATTCAAAGGTTATCTTAAGATACCAAAAATATTGATAGATTGAAAACAGTAAGATAAACAAAGATGATTGGACTTCAATTTGCCATAAAGGTATCAGACTCAATGTGTTAGATGAGTGTCTATGTTTATTGAATTGTCTGTCTTCCATAATATTTATTGTTAACCGCGTGAGTGAGCTATGTAGAAAAAAGTAGTAGGGTGAGATAAACATGTTAAATCGTTCGGCCTCTAGGCTCTCGATCCTTCTTTTTTAATCCGTTTCACAATTACTGCCAAACACTGGATCATGACATATTTATTCATGATATTAAAAACTTGCATCCCATTGTACATTGAACCGAAAAAAGAAGAAATCACTGAATAGTGATGTTAGCTTATGAAAACGCAACTCCAAATATTGATCAGCTTCCTTGTTGTGTTAAATGTTTCCTGAAAAACCAATTAAATTCAAAATTAACTAAACTTCAAAATAATTTATCAAAATATGTCGAGTTACATTTTCAATAGATCATTTTTTTTTCTGTAAACATCGTCTAAATTTCTACATAGTTTCTCTTTTTTGTTGTTTGGAAAAAACGTTTATCTATTCAAATATTGAATAATCTCATGAAGTTTTAAAGTATTTCACATTTTATTTTTTTTCGAAGAGAAATCCTATTTTACTAATGAATCAATCACAAATATAATGTAATATTTAACCGACAAATATTTGTTTAATGTTTATCAAATTCTTATTAATCTGTCATTAATACTCGTTTATTAAGTTAGCTTGAAACTTAGTGTTGCAGCGTATTGTATTGATTTGTCTAGAGATGGAGAATGTTTGAGTGTTTTGTTTTTTGTTTCTGTGAAAAAATTAATAAATATATCACACTTTGGAATTATTTACTTTTGATTCTGTTGAAAAGTAAAAAAAATAATACTTGTAATCAACTATATGGTTGTGTTTTCAAACGATAATCATTTCTGTGGTGCTGGTGGTGGTGTTTGGTTCTCTGAACTGGATGTTTTGTGTTTATGATGTTGTTCAGAAGAAGAACAATGAAAGCTCCACAACCAAAACATCTAGCTCAGAAAACCAAACACCACCACCACAATCATCCATCCTGAGCCACAAATCTTCTCCTTCATCTCAATAATCATTTCTATTCGATAATTGTTGACATGCCCTAAGAATTGGTGTGAATGTGTTATGAATATTCCGTTGCTTAAAGTGTTGTTACTTTTAAAGTGGTAACTTAAGTTTGTTTAGTTCATTGTCTCATTTGGACTAAACAACCACTGAATGTCTTAAAGCACTGAATAATTGTTGCGCTTTTACGTGATGCTTTCCCAGTGGTGCAAACTCACGATAACACAAAGGATCGAATCCAGTGATTTGTGGTCACTATCTTATGTAGACGTTGTTCAGACTAAATATTATCGATACATTTACCTCATTAATGGTGATTGTCAAGCATTTATTAGTCATCGTCTCCTGGAAAATTCCGAAGGCCGTTTATAAACGATGAGTGCGAATTGCCTTCCATTAACTAAAGCTGAAAATGTCGACTTTTTGATGTCAACTGAGTAATCTGACTAGACAATCTAATTGTCATACGTCTGATTCCCGACAGAGGAATGGGCCGCAGACTGATATTAAACACAACAGTCGATAAAACACTTATTCGGCCTTCTCTGATTTTTTACTGGCTATCCGGTGAAAATCAGCTTTGTAATGTAAATGATGATCAATTTGAATAATTCCTCTCGCTACTCGTAAGTTATGATTTTATTTTTCTAATAACATTTCAGCATTCTACAAATCCATCCAATGTACCAAATAAAAGTGTATCTGTTAAAACAATTACACTACAGAATGGTAATGAAAATACTGCAAATCCTAAAAGTCTTCGAAGCACTAATCCTACACTCTCACCAAATTCAAGTCATGCAACTACATTTGACGCGAATCGAATAACCAATAATAAACCTTTAACTCATAGTTTTTCCACTAGAACAGCTGTTGTACCAAGTTCTGGTACAATAACTTATCAATCAAGTAATTTCACGAATACTGTATCTTCTGGCGGATCATTATCTTCAGTGGCAAGGTCGAATTCTTTTGGCAATTCATTAAATATCAACCAACCAACTGCAGCAACAACCGGTTCCAGTTTAGCTCAAGGTGTAATTAGTTCAGCTATTAATGGTAAATGGAGATCAACTGATAAACATGATACTTATGAATTGTCAAAAGTTCACAATGGAGGTGAGTATAGTACAAACTTTGTAATTGCCTGTTTAGTTAAATAAATGTGATTCCACCACTCTTTAGGCATTGTAAGACTTAATTCTCCAGTTTTAACATTACAGAAACATTTTGAAGATTCGAGCTTAATCTGTTAATTTTTAAAATAAAAAAAGATGTGATTTGTTTGAAGTTCGGAAGTTTTTAAACACAAAACCAAATAAACTATATGACTTTGAGAATCAGATGGGACCGTCATCTTGAATTCCACCACTTACAACTTCTTTACTTTACTCGCTATGACCTAATTGCAATAATGAGGTAATCCGCTAACGATACCCATATAGCAGTAGACACTGATTTATTAAAGTCGTCAACATCAGAGTCTGTGTACTATAAACACTTGTGGATAAATATTCCTTCTGATTCATCAGGCCACTGATTATCTGTACTCATTAATTCAATAGATTGAGAATTAATGTTTAAAGGAATAGGTATGGTGTTTGACTTTCTGTGGCCAAAATTACAATCAAGATACATCCAGTTGACAAAATTCAAATTGAACAATCTCATTTCTCGTCATTATCCCACTTTGTTATTTGAAAGTAGCTTCATATGTTCCAATCAAGCAAATGTGAACAGTACTCGTAGACTTCATCCGATTTAGTTGGGCTTCAATGGCCTAATCACAATCAGGTGTCCGCTTATGAAGTATCATTAATTTAATGCTGATAAATTCAAAGCAATCGTGCATAACACAAATTAGAATATGAATTTTAATGTATATCTTAATCGAATGAGTAACTGTTCCATTCTAAAGTCAAGTAAACCATTGATTCATGTACACCTGAATGCTGTAGTGTGCATCGGTGATCATTAATTGTCGGAGACATATGGTACACCTGAATGCACATAACCTGTTTTGATGTATCTATGCACATAATCATAATGTAGGTGGTATCAAGAGTATTATTGAATTTATATTTTTATTTAATTCTTGATTCCACAAAAAAAAGGTGATGATGATACAAAGCCGATAGATAATGTAAGTGTGCAAAGATTAGTCGGGTGTACAGCTGGTCGACCAAGGCAACCTGGTAGAAGACTTCCTACCAAGTTATCTAATGTTACAAATGCAGCTCCTGTAAGTCATTCAAAGTAGCAATGTATGCTTTTTGTGTTTTTCATTGTAAAGTAATCTGGATTACATTGACTTATTTTTAGTGTGTTATGATGCATTAACTCTACTGGTTGACATGATACGAAAGTATTCACAGTCATCATATGCAGGTTAAGGAGCCAGTCAGACAGCTATTCCATTGTAATAAAACTATAACCTAGCACTAATATGCATTTGTCCAATTCGCTACACTACATTCATTTACACAACGAGATGAAAGTAACAGGGAAACGAAATAATATAGTTTTTTTTGAAACCATGAATCGATCAATGTTAGACCATCATTAGTAACCTGGAAGCACTGAAAGACGGACGTTTTGTCCTGTTATGAGACTCCTCAGCAGTGCTCATCCACGACTCCTGCACCCCGCAGGTTTCGAACGCAGGACCTTCGGTATTGTAAGGGAACGCCTAACCATCGGACCACTGAGCCGGTATCTAACGGTGTTAATGTCTAACTTGATCAATTCACTTAACATTCTTCACAACCCCGTAATACAAATTACCTGTGCTCACTAGTGACTAGCTTCGTAAGGGATCTCCGAGTTTTAGTTGGAAGACGTGACCAACGAAGTTCAACCTGTTCGGGTGTAGACAGTAACTACCGAAGACTGTGTATGAGGTTGCGCAACTCCGTGAAGAAAATTCGGTCTTAAGATTTTGAGTAAGTTGGATAGATGAACTAGTAACACTTTGACAAATTCACCCAATGTCTCCAACCTTTGATGGAATTTGTTGCTCGACTCTCAACCAGGTAGTCTTAATTCACAAACAATCAAACTGATACCATGTTTCTGTTATGACCACTCCTAACTTTCAGCCAAACTATTTCCACTCCAGCAAAGGTAGCGTGTGAAAATGATCAGTTGTTTAGGCATACCTAAAACACCATCTAAGTCGCATCAGTCAATAAAGAAGTTATAGAAAATGCACACCTCTCATCCTATATTTAATGTGATGTATGCTAGTTAAATTATTTCGCAAATTTACTGCTTTTGTTTTTCGAAGACAAGCGTTTTTTGAAGATGACAGAGACATATTTACTGGCAAATAGCTTGAAGAAGAAAGAAGTTTCCTTAGTTCTAGTAGGAGGCTTTCATCATTGAGACAACAAAACGTGCTTATTATAATCATTGGATGAAATATTACAAGTTATCTGAAAGTATTCTTGGATTTTATTCATTTGTTTATTTGCTCAATAACAACTCGGATACAGAAAGCTCGATTGGCTTTTGCCAACCTGCGTCACTTATGGCGTAGGCGTGATATCCGTTCGCTAACTAAAGGACGGGTGTACTGCGCAGCAGTTCGCTTCGTTCTCCTATATGACTGTGAAACATGGTCGTTAAGAGTAGAGTAGAAGATGTTCGTAGGTTACTAGTATTCGATTATAGATGTTTAAGAAGCATTGCTCGTATATCGTGGGACAATCGAATAAGCAATGCTGTCGTTAGGAAACGAGTACTAGGTAAAGATGGCAGATCAATAGATGAAGTAGTGAAACTTCATCAGTTGAGGTGGTTGGGACATGTGTTACGTATGGGTAACCACTGACTGCCTCGACGAGCTATGTTTTGTGGTGTAGGAGTAGGTTGGAAGAAAGCTAGGGACGGCCAGACCAAAACATGGCAGAAATCCATGAAGTCACTGACAAGTGGACTGAGTCATGTTGGTAGATGTAGACTACCTGGTTGGGGTCCGCGAGACGAAAGTCATCAATGGTTAGAGACTTTGAACGATATGGCTCAAAATCGTTTGCAATGGCGCAGGTGCATCCACTTTTTGAGCTCTCTCAAATCCTAATCTTCTGGATTAGCCAGCACCTCTACCTTTGTCTTTCTAACCTTATCTCACCTAATTATACTTCTTGAATAATATCTTCGAACCCTATTCTTCTTCATTACCATTAATACCTCTACTAACTTTATCAATATGGGATTTGATTTGACATTTGAGTCTCTGTGCTAATGTGGTATGGCAACCTGAACTTATGTACATACGTACGAAGTTCTACGTTGCAACTGACTGACTGACTGACTCAATAACAACTTGTAATGCAAGATTTTTTAAAATTTTGTATTAATTTTATTCAAAATCATTCAAACAAATGGATTGTTGAATTCCGAGACGAGAATTCTATGTACAAACGTAAAATTATGGAAATCATACTAAGTAGCTTAAGGTGTTATGTCTCATACGTAGAAATGATGATACTTTTCAACGAATATCGGTTTCTTATTAAGTAGATGAAATATTTACTGTATATTATTCAGTTCTGAATGTATAAAAAAACTTTTGTTACATACTGATGAAAATGCTTTGAAATTTTCAGCTTGCTTGTAAACAGATTCCGAATTCCCATTGAACGTTTTGACAGAATTTTTCAAAAACGTGATAATAACTATTTTTCTAGAATTAGGTTAAAGATAAGAGTGGTGTCATGATAGGAGTGTGAGGATTGTTGAATCTCAATGAAATCATGATGCGATCAATGTTAGACCACCATTAGGAGCCTGGATGCGCAGGGCGGTCATTTTGTTCTAGTATGTGACTCATTAGAAGTGCTCGTCTCCACTGACGACTAGCTTATTGGTTAAGGCGTCAAGCGTTGGCGCTCGAGACCAAGGGTCCCGGTTTCGATTCCGGCTTTCAGAGTCGTAGATGCACACTGCTGATAAGTCACATACTAGCAATGAAATGGCCATTCAGTGCCTCCAGGTTTATAATGGTGGCTTAACATTGATCAACTCATATATCAATGAGTATTGGTAGTTCTCAAACCTCATCAATATGATAAAAGGAACCGACAGTCATACACTATTTTTAAATGACACATGGTTAGCATCAATTTACTTCGAAAATTGAAAAAAGCTCTGAAACTTTGTCTAGATGGACAGATTAAATATACTGCTAGTTTAGATCTGTAATTAAAAAGAAATTCTTTATTTTTCACATAAGCTGTATATTTATGCATATCAACGTTTTATAGTAGTAGTAATACAATACAAAACGACTAATTAAAATTTTATTACAATTAATAATTGGTAACATAACAGTGAATATTTATTACTCACTAAATTGATCGGTCCAGTGTTTTCACTAGTTAGTTAGTTAGTTAGTTAGATTCAGAGAAAATTAATTACACTCCACCGAATTCATCAGTTGAATGGTTTTCAACTGTTTCACTATATAATTTCCAAACAGTTTTAATAGAACTAACTGCGTAGAAATAAATAAAAAAATACTTAACTGTTTAATGCAAACCCTGAGAAATTCAGTTCAGTTTTATATCTGTATGGTTGTCATGGTTACTTGTAAGAATGTGACAACATTTGTAAAAATAAATAGTTATTTGTTTTGAATTTAGATAGGAAATTAAATTTATTAAATCAGGCTTATATTCTTTCCAGTATTTTATTTTACTATCAGTTTTTTTTTTACATATTTTACTTTTGTTAATAATAACAATAAGCCGCTGATATTTATCCAGAAAAATTGTGATTCTAAAACATGACAGATAGAGATGGTGTATAACTAAACCAAAATAGATTTTGTTTCTGTTCTTATGCTGAAATTAAAATATTCTGAACAAAATGTCGTCTATTTTCATTAAAACACAATTGTTGACTACTTAACATTATGGAACTTTGTTTCATTATTATTATGCCTTGATATTCTGAATATTTATGAATATATATGAATATATATGCAACAACGAACTGTGGGAGAAAACAAACCAGATTCCAGTGGAAGAGGAAATGAGGAAGAAACGGTGGAAGTGGATAGGACACACATTAAGAAAAGCACCTAACTGCGTCACGAGACAAGCCCTCACATGGAACCCTCAAGGCAAAAGGAAAAGAGGAAGGCCAAGGAACAAACTACGCCGAGAAATAGAGAAAGATATGAGAGGAATGAACAAACATTGGACAGAACTGGAGAGGGAAGCCCAGGACAGAGTTGGTTGGAGAAAACTGGTGGGCGGCCTATGCTCCATTGGGGGTAACAGGCGTAAGTAAGTAAGTAAGTATGAATATATATACATCCACTCATTAAATCTGTCAGTCAGTCAACCAGTCAGTTACACCGTAGAACTTCGTTCGCACGTACGTCAGTTCAAGTTGCCATACATTAGCACGGAGACGAAATTGTCAAGTGAAATCCCATATTAGTAGAGTTGGTAGAAATCTAAGCAGCCATCAGGAAATATCACAGCCTGAAAATCTTATTCAAGAAGTATAATAAGGAGAAAGAAACTTGAAGCGAGAAAGATCAGGGTGATGAAGAAGCCAGAGGATTAGCATTTGAGAGAACACAAAGAGTGGATGCACCTGCGCCATCGCAAACAATTCTGAGCCATGTCGTTCAAGATCTCTAATCATTGGTGACCTACGTCTCGCGGATCCCAACCTGGTGGCCTACACCTACCAACACGGCTCAGTTCAGTTGCCAGTGACTTCAACGATTTGTGCCATGTTTTGGTTTGGCCACTCCTTGGTTTCTTCCAACCTAATCCTACACTTTATTTATTCATTATAGAAATCAACCCTCTGCTGTCAAGGACAATTTTACATTGGTTTTCAGCAGAACCAAGGTGACTGCTCACGTGTTAGCGTTTCGACATGAACATTCCTGCTCAATCCCGCGGTGCAACCACACAAGTACCTGATACGCTGGTGGACCATACCTTCTCCTACACTACAAAACATAACCCGATGATGCAGTCGGTGGTTGAGAATACGTAACACATATCCTAATCACCTCAACGGATGAAGTTTCAATACTTCATCATTTAGTCTGCTATCCTTACCTAGTAGTACCTGTTTTCTAAGAAAAACATTGCTTAATCGATTGTCCCACGATAAACAAACCATGCTTCAGTGACCGCTATGATAGAAAATCACTCACCGACGAAAATCTTCTACTCTTACTGTCCACTCATTAAGGCAGTCTACCTAAGCTTGACTTATAATAGTAGAAAAACATTATCAGTCAATGAAAGCTGATCTAATTCAATAGACATTTTAAGTTGCTTACTTTTTTAGGGCCAGACATTTTTGATAACATTTCTAGCCTTTAGTTTGTGTTCATGACTGACAATATCTTGTGCTGAATTTCGCAGTATTCAGTAATACTCGTGAATATGAACTATTAATAGGGCGGCACTTTTAAGTTCTGAACTTATAAAATAAAATGTTGGTAAGAAGTTACCAATCTGTAATTATTTCAATTGATTACTAACTGCTAAGCAGGTCGGTCAGCTGAGACCAGCTATAGCGGTCCCGCATTATGAAAACAGGTAACAGTGCAATGATACCTCGTCCATAAGCTTTAACTGATATAAAGACCAGATTCACGATACGTTGTATACACTGAATAATATCTATCCACCACTTAGTTGTTACATATGACGAATCAACTTCATATATTACAAAACAACTGTAACTTGATACTTGGGCATGAGGGCGTTAGTAACCTCATCCCGTACAAAGCCAACTCGATAAAAAATTACTGACCATAAATAGTCAGTGTCGCCTGTGGTCCATTTTTGAAGTAACAAAGGCAAGTAAGCGAGTAAACTGTTGAGTAACAATTATATAGTTAAAACCACAACCTATCTCTACAATCATACAGGCTTATTCAAATATGATTTTTTCTTAAATTCTGTTTTAAAAATATCATACATGTGAAGCTTACAAGTTTTTTTTTTATTAATATTATGTAACAAACTGAAAAATCATTCAAATAAGTAAAAATACTTTAAATTCAACTCAAACAATTAAACAATGATCAATTTTTCAATCACTGTAAATTAGTTTAAAATTTACTGTTATTTGTTTTCATTGTAGGATTTAACTCATCCATTGAATACTCCTCCTATTCGAAGTACTATTCCAGCGTCGAAATCCACTGATACTACTACTCATATTATATATGATACACCAGTAGTGAATAGGATTAATGCAACAGAGATAAATGAAAATCATATTAGTTCATCATCATTAAGTGTTGAACCAGTTGACAAGACCAATGAATCCACCACATATAAACAACAACAAGGACGAACAACCAACCCGACTATAAATTCGTCACGGACAAGTAAAATTATAAATACTGTATTATTATTTATTTGTTGGTAACGAATTCAAATGACGATTTAATTATTTTTTTTTCAAATAAGATTGATAGGTTTTGAATCGANAA